CCGAGACAAACATCGCTACCATAGTGAGACTTTTCGATTGCTAGTACCTTATAACGTTCCGTGTGAACCGCACAAGTAAGGTTTTACTGTGTCACACATGGAAAACTCTCTCTTTTAAACCTTACTTGGAATGTCATTTCAATTCCAAATGTAAAGTATAAAAAGTATATCTTTCCGGGCAGGGTTTACCTGCATATAACATGTAATGGGGTACATGAGAGGTTGATCAATATAACAACACTATTGCACGTACCGCAAGTTGATCTTCCGTCTTTAAACTGCATCCATTAACTCCAAGATAGAGACCCATTTCGAGGAATTGTTCAGCTTGGGACCACGTGCCATCGAATGTGTGAACAACACCACGAATAGGCTGATCATGGAACGCTTCCGCTTGGACTTGTTTCAACGCGCTTAGGAGATCCTCATGTGCAGCACGACAGTGCAAAAATAGAGGTAGACGAACGCGGGAAGCCAACTGAAGCTGGAATTTGAAGTGCTTCCGCTGAATATCTCGAGGGCAGTAGAATTCTCTGGTCTGGAGGTGAAATAAGGCTGCTCAAAAAATTACCTATCATAATCCAGTCCACATTCACCCACAGCAACCACTTTGCGCTGGTTATCGTTGATCAAGGTTTCCATTTGTTGCACATACTCAGACGGATCAACATCCATCTCGATACATCGGGTTGGATGGCACCCAACCGTTGTGAAGAGGCGTTCATCAGTCCGGGATAGTTTTATTGCTTCACATGCGTCTGAATAGGAACCTAGAGAGAAAATCCTAGGTCAAAATATTTTGTGTCCAATCACCTGCAGTTATGATAATCCTTTTCATGCCGATGTCAAATGCACGGTTCAGTATCGCATCGAAATCATCGGCATGTAGTGACCGACCGCGATAGCAACCGCGAAAAACTTTATCCGTCAGATTCGCACCGATATCGATAAACCTGCGACAACTGGCCATTGGTAGCCGACAGTGAGATATTAGCCTGAAAAGCAAAAAAAGCATAATTTACGGAGAGATTTATTTGACAACTATTCCNCACAAGAAAACGCACATAACTAGATCCAGTTTAAAACGAAAAAGCCTTTTCAAAGACACCGTTAGAAGATCGACGGACTTGACGGTTGTTTGTGAAAATGCTAACCATACACTTTTGTGCCTCGGTTTCGGTTGCTGTCTTTTGACTGCCTATTTGGATGAAAAGAGTGTAAAGAAAATGAAAAGATGCACGAGCGCCACTGTTTACGAAATCAGATCAGATTTCAGCACTTGCGGCTCGAGCC